AACCATTTATTCATGTGGGAGAGTACTCTGTTTGATATTGCACAGAAATCATCAAACATTTTACTAGAGATTATAACACTTGTATCATCAGCAAATATTATGGGTTCTGATGAAAAATTTATTGTTGGTGGAAGGTCATTTATATATATTATGAAAAGCAAGGGTCCCAGGACAGATCCTTGGGGAACTCCATGCTTTACTGTTCTCCAGTTTGAGAAAAAATTTTGAGTATATTTGGGTGATTTTATCTCAACCTTTTGTTTTCTATTTGTTAGATAGGATTTGAACCATTTTAACACTGTTCCTCGAATGCCATAAAATTGCAGCTTACTTAACAAAATTTCATGATTTACACAGTCAAAAGCCTTTGCCAGATCACAGAAAATTCCTCCTACATGCCTTTTTTGGTCAATTGATTTTAAAACATTGTCTGTTAGCTTGAATGCTGCATCTTCAGTGGATACACCCTTCCTAAAGCCATACTGTTCTGGGACCAATATGTTGTTACAATGCATATGCTGATTTATCCTGCTGTACATGACCTTTTCAAGTATCTTAGAAAAAGTAGATAATAATGAAATCGGCCTATAGTTCGTCATACTGTACTTATCTCCTTTTTTGAACACTGGTTTTACTATTGAAATTTTTAGACGGTCTGGGAAAATGCCTGTGTATAATGAGTGATTACAAATGTGAGTTAAAGGGCAACTAATTAAATCAGAGCAAGCTTTCAGAATTTTGCTTGTTACTTCATCAAATCCTGATGAGTTCTTTGTTTTCATGGTGTGTATAATATTCTTTATCTCAGCTTCACTGGTTGGAATGATTTTAATACTAGGAAAATTTATGGGAAATGAACCAGATACAGTGAAAGCGATCTAAGTAAGGCGATTGAGATGGCTGGGATACATTTTTAGAATGCAAGAGGTCAACTCTGAATAAACTAAAAGGTGCTTAAGTAGGCAGACCTACTATTAGGTGACTGGATTCAGTTGAAGATTTGAAGACGATGGGCGTTAGAAATTGGGGAGAAAAGTCACAGGATCAGGGCCAATGGAGAGCAGTCTTAAAAGAGGCCAAGATTCATCATGGATTATAGTGCCTATAGAAGAATAAGAAAATTCCTGCAATATTTTGTGCTGAAATTTCACAACCGTTTTCGCAATGCCAAAACAAATGTGGACTTTGAGGGGCATCAGTTTGTAAGCTTGTTTGAAAGATGAATGAAACCAGAAGTTAGTTAAGTATCTGTCTCCATGTAGCACAGTCCTTCATGATAAGCCAATAGAATGGTAGCTGGTAGGTGTAATTCCCAAGATTTTATGGAGCTTGAAGGTTCTTTACCATGTTCACAATAGTTTACCACTGGTCTCTGGCTTGAGCCATACAAACCCAGTCCGCATCATTCCATATGATTTCACTCAGATCTGGTTTAGATTAATCCTTCCATCTGTACCTAGGTCTTCTAGTAGCCTCTTTCCATGAGAGTTTTCTACCAGAACTGTGTATGCAATTCTCTTCTTCCTCACCCATCTCAGCTGCCTTCATTTAATCATCCTGATGATGTTTGGTAAGGAGTGCAAATTACTGAGTTCCTCGCTGTGCAACTTCCTCTACTCTCCTGTTACTTACTGCCTTTTATGTCGAAGTATTTTCCTCAGCTCACTTAGGGGGTTTATGGAAAGCCTGGTGTACAGGACTCCAGTGGAGAGACAACATGATCTTGTGGCAAGAATTGCAGTAGCAGCTGGAACCATCCGGGAAATGCTGGGAATCTTTCAAAGAGTTCAGCATAACATAGCCAGGCAGTGCAGAGCATGCAATGAAGTTGGTGGCCTCCATTTTGAGCAACTGTTATAATATAAAACAATGATAACATCTGCTAAAAGTTATGCATCCTCTCAGAAACTTTTGTGACCCTTAGTGCCAAAAGGAAGTGTTTCCAGACATTGGTGTATTGACAAAATAAGATTGAACCCCTCTATCTACCACAGAGCATTGTAATATACATTTATTTACACTCTGTATATGATGATCTGCCTTCATATGTTTATACCTTTGAAGATGGCATAAACTGAAAGTGTTTGTAGTTGCGTGTCTGTAATTGAAGGAACTCTTGAATGATCTTAATACGGAAGATGGAATGAATCAAGTTTAAAGAAACATATGTAAGTAAAATAAAAGTAAAGGTAACCCTGTAACGGGCCGTGGAGTCCCATAAGGTCGTGAGATGTTGAGGTTCCCACATTTTCTACACAGTCAGCTCATAGATGTTGGTAAAGTTGTCAGCCTTAAGCGCCAGCCACCCTTTACCCCCAAGAATATTCCCAGTACTCATTTCTGTTAGAGGCTGAGTCGACCCCATGGCCATAGTGCAGCTGGAAGGATTAGGTACATTGAAAAAATCCACCTCATCAGGATTTGATGCTGTGACCTTCCGGCTTGTAGCATAGTTCCTCAACCAACTACGCTACTCCAAGCCCTATAAAGAAACATATGAAAAGACTTAAACTTTAACAAGGATTAGAAAAATATGTTCATGTATGTTTTAATTATAATTGTGTTATTTGTTTGTGATTACAGGTTCCAGAAGAATATGTGTCAAAAGAAATATTTGATGCCGTTAGTGTCTACATAATCCCCAAACCACAACTTCAGAGGAGCATTCTTACAGTGTGAGTGCTGTGTGATGCATGACTACTATTACTGCTGCTGTTTTTACTACTGAAACAAACAAATCAAGTAACCAGCCACCTAAATAACTTCATGGATCTGAGCCCTTCTTGAGAAGCCACTAGTCTCACATGTATCCAAGAACTTCCCAGCATTTTGTGGTACCTGAACATTCATTAATGTGTTCACAAGGGCCCTCCACTGTTCCATATTCTGAGCCAGATCAATCCAGTCTATACCATTCCATCCTGTATCTCTAAGATCCATTTTAATATTATCCTCCCACCTTTCTCAAGATCTTCTTTCTGATCACTTTCCTTCTGACTTTCCCACCAAAACCCTTTATGAATTTTTCTTCTTCCTGATGCATGCTTCATGCCCTGCATACATCCTCTGTGATTTGATCATTCTATTAGATTAACGGCCGTTGTGCTGACCACGGGACACCCTCTATCCGCAAAAGTTGCACTAACTTTGCTGACGAGTGGCAATTGCTCGGTCAGTATAGTTTGCTTGTGGACTATAAGCCAAGGAGTTTATTTTCTTTTTAGTACAGGTTATGAAGCTCCTCATTATGCAGTTCTCTCCAGCTTTATATAGAGATGAGCTGTGGCATATGGATGCTGCTGCTCGCACGCAGAACAGACCTGAGGGTGTGTGAAGACAACAAGTTCTGTTATGAAACAAGCAACATTGTGTGTAGAAAATGCAGAGGTCTTTCAGAGAACAACTATATAAATAACTAATTAAATAAAATTGCCATGTAGTGGATAAAATAATAAAGTAAAATTGTTTTACTCAGCAGTTTCCTTTGTATTTCCTGTAGTTAGTGAGATCAGTCAGTTAAGAGCTGCCATACCTGAGGCCTGGGATAGTTCAGGAATCCAGAGTAAGGGGTATGTCTGTCGTTGGTAGCTGCTACCAAGCAACGACTAGGGAAGACTGAGAAGACTGTATGCATGCTGCAGTTAACAGTGATCTTTGGAGTGTGTAACTTAGTGAGACTGTTGTAGTTATTTGGTTCTATAAGAGTCAAATCCGATCATCACTCCAAAACCTGTCTGTAGTCACTAAAAAAATGTGACAGTATGTTCTGTGATTTAATTTGTATTTCTTTTTTTTTTCTTTTGTCTCCATTGCCATATATCTGCTGATACCCATGATCTGCAGATTCATACAGAGAGTTATTATGAGGGCCCAGATTTTGATGACATGTCATCTTTTTTTCCTTGTATCCTATGCGATGCTCTTAAATATATACATCTCGGATATGAGCTGCTGGTTACAGAAATGTAAATTTTATAGCTTTTTTTTTTTTTACATTTTTAGGTTTAAGGTAATTTTTTCATTTTGGGGGTAATTTTTTGGTAAATTTTTGGACTTTAAGGGTATTTCTTGTCATTTTTGGCCATTTTAGGGAATTTTTCTTCATATGTTTTCTGAAATGTGAATAATATTGAAGCGAAGTGTCCTTTTTTTTCTCCATAAGATCATTTTATCTGGATGTTTTAGGTCATTTTTTGAATATTTTCAGTCATCAAAATCTTGGCCCTGCATATTACATTTTTGGGTCATATTTTATGTCATTTTTCTGGATTTTTTTGGTCATTTTATAGGTCATTTTTTAAATATTTTCAGATCATCAAAATCCAGGCCCTGGTTATTATATTTCAGCGTCCTGTTGTATTGAGGCATCATTCTACCTTTTACCAATGTATCCATCAATAATACAATTTTAAAAAGGCATTAGGAATATGTTGTTTACTAAAAATGCATTTTAATACCATGACAGTTCAAATCAATAACATTCCTGTAGGCCTTTAGTTAGTACGTAGTATACTGGTAGACCACAATGGGGACACATGACGACAAACTGATAACAGCTGCAAAAATATCTGGATAAGAATGAAATTTAACAACTACCATGAAGTAAATAACGACGTGCATGAAAGAAGCACAGGAAACAAACTACAGTGCAGTGGTCTCACTCGAGGATACAGTTCACCTGATGATGGCCCAATGAGGCCGAAACATGTTGTTGACTATAAATTAGTAAAAAAAAAAAAAATACATGTAATACCAAGACAATTTGAAGAGTGTGAACATTCATTTTTAATGTGTAAATTTATGTACTATGTAAAGGCATACGGGCATTTTATTGATTTAAACTGTTACAGTATTAAAATGCATTTTTAGTGAACAACATATTCCTAATGTCTTTTTAAAGTTGTATTATTGATGGATACGTTGGTAAAAGGCATAATGGTACAGAGAGGTTTATTCATCATATGCACTTGTTATTACGCTCTAGTGGTGCACGCTATATGATAGAAGGTTCCATACACACGGATCACGCTATAAACAGACAGTGATAGCTTGCCTGTTTGTTTTCTGTTCCCTGAAGCATTTTTCCCCAAGGTTTGTGTGGTGGCACAAGAATGGGGGAATACCAAATTATATTGCTCATTATGAACATGAATGCGAGCTTTGTATACGTCAATTTTTGTTTTCTTTTTCAGTAATGTGTTAGGTTACAAAATTACAGGATTCCCTGTAAGGATAGACAACACGAAATATGCAAGAAATGCCTATTATTTCAATTTGTGTTTTGTATGTGATGCTTGGGCTCGAACTGTGCAGTATGAACCGGTCGTGAAGAAGTTGTCAGAATATCTGGTAGGTATACAAGTTCATACTGTTATGCTTTCTGTTACCCTGTGTGGTAGGAACGTTACTGTGGAGAACGTATTTGTCTGTAACCTAGTGTAAGTAGTAATTCTCTGTGCTGTTTTTTTTTATGAAAATTTCGAAAGAGAACTCTCACTAGAACAGAAATCTAAGGTGATACTTTGTATACTCTTAATGCCTAGCCATTAGTGCACACCGTATATAGATCCTGGTAATTTCTGATATTTAATAATAATTCTGTATTTAAGCATCCTGTTGCAAGCCACATTAAAACGTCTATGTATAACACAGTCCATCAATAATGCAACAAATTGATCTTTTTCTTCCACTTATACTTTAACACAACATGTTTTGGCCTTAGATGGCCATCTTCAGGTGTCTTAATATATTAAAACTGCTACACTGCATTAATATGCACCAAAATCACATGCTGTAGTACAATTAATAAAATAAAATCCATTAAAATTTTCATTATTTTGGTGAACTTCTATTCCACCTCACAAGGGGTGTCGTCCATTTGTTTAGAACTGTGTATTCATCACCCGGTGTTTAATTGCAGCAGCACACAGAGAGAAACACTAGTTCTAAACAAAGGGACTACACCCCTGCTTTCACATGAACCTAGAATCTTATTTTGTGCAGAAAAGCATTTTGATGTCTGTAGATTTTAAGCTTGTGTCTTTATTTTATCAGTCTTAACTTCCTCTTTCAGATGACAATGGAACAGGAAACAGGGTTTTTATCTAATGAAAATAAAACTGAAAATGAGAAAGTAAGACTTCCAGCAATATTGAAGCAAATCCTTGAGGATTTAAATTGTCACAAAATGACAACTGTCATTGGTATGTATATGATAGTTACATTCTTGAAAGTGTTAACACAGTGTAAAGAAATGTCCTATTATCTTTAATTGGCTTTATTGCTTAATATTTCTTATGGAGTTAAATTATCCTCTTGCCAAAATGTGGGCTGATGGATTCTATCGAACCCTGAATTAGACATGTTTTCAGCAATAAAGAGAAAATTCATAATACACAAAAGGTGAACCTACAGATTTTATGATTGTGGGGCACGCAGTAGTGTAGTTGGTTGAGGGGCTCTGCTATAAGCTGGAAGGTCGTGTGTTCAAGTCCCGAAGAGGTCATTGGATTTTTTTCAATTGACCTAATCCTTTGAGCTGCACTATAGCCCTGGGGTCGACTCAGCGTCTAACAGAAATGAGTACCAGGAATTAATTAAATAATTTTCCTGGGGAGTAAAGTGCAGCTGGCGCTTAAGGCTGACAACTTTACTGCCATCTTTGAGCCGACTGTCTAGATAATGTGGGACCCTCAACGTCTCACAACCCTATGGGCCTTCATGGCCTGGTATAGGGATAGCTTTACTTTTTATTTTACTTTATGGCTATAAGTAAAAAAGTAAAGTAAAGGTATCCTTGTAACAGGCCGTGGAGGCCCATAGGGTTGTGAGATGTTCAGGGTCCCACATTATCTAGACAGTCGGCTCAAAGATGGCGGTAAGTTTGTGAGCCCTATGTGGCGGCCGCCCTTTACCCCCAGGAATATTCCTGGTACTCATTTCTGTTAGAGGCTGAGTCGACCCCAGGGCCATAGTGCAGCTGGAAAGATTAGGTCAATTGAACAAAATCCAATGACCTCATTGGGACTTGAACCCACGACCTTCCGGCTTGTAGCATAGTGCCCCTTAGCTATAAGTAATGAAGTTTAATATTTTATGTAATTCCCACTCTACGAGTGTAAGCCAGTAAAATTGTTTTCAATTAACGTTGCAGAAGGTACCACAACAATGCATCTAAAAGTTGTGAAAGTTGCATCAGATCCACCCCATGTATCAGACCACCACGTTCCTATTTTCATCGTGGACCAGAATATGTACCGAGAACAACAGTGGGACCTTACAACCCAGCAGGTTCTCACACTTTGAACATATTAAGCGTGTGAAGATATATTATGTAGATGGTAATATATGAGCCTTCCGCTGTGATGAAGCTTTAGATACGTAACTCTGAGTTTACATTGTTATTCCTCATTTTTCTTTAAACTAGAATTGCTGTGGATTTGGAGAATGTGCAGTGAATATGTGAAAATAATATTGGTTTATGGAACAGAAAGCTTTGTTACTGTATTAGCTAAAATAAAAATATGTTTAATTTTCATGTAACAAATTCATTAATTGTCTCAGCTGAGTTCTTTGACCCCCTGCATTTGTGATTTCCCAAAGCTGGGATTGAGTATTAAAGAGAAGAACTCTAAACACAATGCTTGTGTCCTGGAAGTTGAGGAAAGTAAAATGTCGAAATGTGGCATGGAAATTAACTTGAAAGAGTTGAAATCAATTATTTGTTAAATGTACAGGTGGGCCAGAAACACCTGATGGTTTCTGAAATGAAATAACTTTTCAAGGCAAAGTGGCAAATTATATTAACACAGATATGTTTCCATTTCTGTCAAGAATTTGTTTTAAGCATTGCTGTTTGAATAGGACACCTTCAAAGTGACCTTTTTGTCAGCATGCTCCTGCAGTTTTGATGGCATGGATGCCATAACACATCATAAGATTTCATTAGGGCTTCCTTGAATGCACTCCAAAATTCATTGTTTTCAAGTTGTCAATTTTGGCAGGAAGTGTCTTTGACATAGCCCCACAGAAAGTAGTCTGTGCTGAAAGATCAGGCAAGCAGGCAGACCAGTTGATGTCCCCAAAATGAGAAATTAGTCTTCCTGGAAATATCTCCCTGAGGTATTTCTGGCTCACCATGTATATAAGAGGAGGAAATATGAATAAACATCACAGGTCATAAAGGTGAAGTTGTTTCAGCACTTAATTATGTAATTAAACACCATGGTATGAAGGCATATGGTGGAGCAGAGGTATAGTTCCACCATTCTTGATCTCATTACTAGATGGAAGTGAGTGGTAAGGTTTATGCGCTGCTGCTTTAATCCTGGGGAAATAGCCCGCAAGGTACACATTTTATAGGAGGCTGGGGTGGACACTTTGAACAAAATAAAAATCTCATCCTCCAGTCTTCCAGCCCATAGCCTAGTTACTAGCAGATTTAGGTTATTCTGGGAATGGAATGTGTGGTGGTGGTGGTGATTCAGTAATTTTACATTTATTTTGTTCCAGGTTCTCCCCTATATCAATGGATTTAACCATGTTGCAAAAATTGCGGCTGAGGCTGATGTGGAGAACAATCTCGTCAAGGCTTGTGTTCAGAATCTCGTGTGAGTGTTCATAAATTTGCATGTAACATGGAGATATGTTTGTGTAGTTAAACACTGAACAGGATTCTTAGAGCTTCCAGTGACAACATTGACTACATTGGTGGCAAAGATGAAACACAAGTTGCAGGAATTATAAACATTTCATTCCTGAATACTGTGCAGTAGTTTCAGTAGCTAGTTTATAGTACTATGTGTGATTATTTGTTGCTGACAAATGCTCCACTCTTCATGGGCAGTTTAAGAGATTTCTGACATTTAAATTATGCAGCTGAAAGCAAAATCACGAATTTATATTGTTTTTAGCGTAGAGCAGAGCTGGGGTCTGGATGCTCAGTTGGAATAGTGATGTGCTAAGAGTTTGAGATCCAGGGTTTGATTCATGGCATGGGCACAGCATCTAGACTGGCTGTGGATCCCACCTAGCCTCCTATCCAATGGACACTGGGGGTTCTTTCCCCAGGGCATGACGCTGACCACTCATCTTTGTCTAGTGTTGAGGTGAAGAATGGTGCAGCTGTGCTTACACTTTCACATCTTCATGGTGTGGTGCTTAATTAAGCACAGGGACAATTTTACTTTTTTTGCCTTTTATCTTAATGTAGACTTTGAAAAATCATAAATAGTATTTATGAAAGAATTAATGGTGTTTCATTAATTTCTTTACCAAGTAGTCTCATATAACAATGTAACAAATTTACGAGGTTCTATCGGAAAGTTCCTGGACTGTAATTGTTGTAACTACCTCAGCGAAAGAAGATAGGGGAGGCCAAGGTTGCACATCTGCAACCCTGCAAGACAGCATGGGGAAGGAAAAAGAAGAAAGCCCAGGACACTGTGCATAAAGTGTGAAAAGGATTTACGTGGAGAGTGCTTTCCAAAACATAATGCAGTAATTAGGTAAATCATAACATTGAAATTTGGTCAGTGGAAAATTCTGAAGTGTCTGCGTTTTGTTCAGAATTGTTAGAAGTGCAGGAAGGATTCTGTTTTATTTGTAAACAACCTCATACTGCTGCCATGTCACCAATGTGGCACTTCTAAAGGCATGAATTTTTCTCTTTGAATTTTTTCTGGTACCCTTCCATTGCATCCTGATGAGGTCATTGGATTTTTTCAATTGACCTAATCATTCCGGCCACACTATGGCCCTGGGGTTCACTCAGCCTCCAACAGAAATGAATACCAGGAATTAATTAAATAATTTTCCTGGGGAGTAAAGCGCGGCCGGCGCATAAGGCTGAGAACTTTACTGCCATCTTTGAGCCGATTGTCTAGATAATGTGGGACCCTCAACATCTCACAACCCTATGGGCCTTCACGGCCTGTTACAGGGATAGCTTTACTTTTTTTTTGCCCTTTCTTTGCAGTAGGTGCCAATAAGCTTGTAGTGTGATGCTGACTACTTGCCTCCATCTTGAGCCAAAGTCTCAGGAATATGTGAAGCTTTACCTCCACACTCCCATACATCATAATACTCTGGTGTTCAAGAATAAGGGGAACTTTGCCTTTTGAACAGTATTTATATACCAATACAAGGTAAAGTTGTCCCTGTGCTTAACTAATTAAGCACTGTGCCATGAAGGCGTATGAAGGAGTGAATGTATAGATCCACATTCTCTTGACTTCGGCACTAGCTGGAGGTGAGTGGTCAGCTTAAACCCCCGGGAAAGATCCCCCAGTACCCATTGTATAGGAGGCTGGGTGGACCCCAGAGCCAGTCTGGACGACTTGGAGAAGAGAAAATTCTTGACCCTACTTAGACTTGAACTCCGAACCCTTGGTCGTCCAGCCTGTGGCTAGTTGCTATACCAACTATTCTTGTTACCTTGTTATATGGAAAAAACTTTAAATGTCACATATCTTTATGACCTCTATCATCATACAAATCTTCATGAATGTATGCTGAATGGAAGAGTTTGCATGGCTGTCATGATGGAATCATGAGAGGTAGGAACTGGGGTCACCGTGAAATCCATCCTCCAATTGATGTTGGCTTACTTGGGAAGGACACACATACAGATAACATGCTCTTCCTTACCAAAACCAGTCTAGAAGTAATGACAGTTGGTTGCCCAGTCTGTCTTATGTAGAGTGCAGTGTTTATTTATCATTTATCTGTGCTCTATTTAGTGGCACTGTCATAGGTCAGCTTATACGGTAAGATTACAGATGTGGAAGCAATGGTCGTGGCCTAATTTGAGGTCCTTTCCTTGCATTTGTCTGCAGGGACTGACAAAACTATGAAAGCCACAGGATAGTCAGTGTCCCAGCTGAGATTTGAACCCAGACACCTCCCAATCAGAAGTCAAAAGCATTACCACATGGGCCAACATACTGGATCCAGATGCAATATCACAGTTCAGTTAAAAATGTTTATTTTTTCTAAGTCATACAATTTTGAAGTCTGCACTGTGAGTTTCACTCGTAATAAATGTAATACTAAATTTATTATTTGGTTTCCCTTCCAGATATTATGGTGCTGTGAAACTTATTCCAATATTTCAGTATTGTAATGTGTATGCTGCAACACCAGAGCTCAGGTATCTTGCTGGCAGCAAGAAATTCCAAGAAGAATGCTTGCTATATGTTTCTAAACTGGGTTAGTTTCACCTTTAATCTTTTGTGGTCAATTTAAAACTGCCTTATGAATTATATAATCAGATCACAGACTGCCTGTAGGAGAGAGTATTTGTGGCCTTAATGTACCACCCCAGCATTTGCAAGACAAACCTGAAACCTCTAGAACAAGAAGCAGTAGTGCCAACTGCTGCACCATAACATTCTGATAATAACTTGGTAATGTACACTTCACAGGTATCTGCTGCAGCAGGCAAAATAAAGCAATTGATCCGAACACTTCTTTTACAGGACATTCGAGACTTTTTGATTTTTTTTTATATGTATACTGAATAATGTAAGAATTTTCTGTTAGTTGGAATTGTGACTAATGGTTCATCTTTATGGGTGTATGACCCACTAATTTGAAAGGTGATATCCTTCTGTTGGTAAAAATAAAAGTACTATGATCCAACCTACAAAAGCTGTGAAATCTGTTATTTCATATTACCGAAGCAATGAATTACTGAGCATGAAGTTGTGGAAACCTGATTTAATAGACTTCATTTTGCTGATATACTTTAATTATTAAAATAAAATATAAATTGGTATAGCGACTGGATACTTACTGGACTGAGGGGTCAGAGTTCAAGTCCAGGTAGGGGAAAGATTTTTCTCCTCTCCACACCCTACTTTGTTGGGCTCATTGACAAAGCTAGGCCCACAGTTTGAGACTAGCTATGCCAAGATTCTCGGTGGAGCAGGTTTGCTTTATCCTGTGAGACAGAATCAGGCTCTGGAATGTGACTTGAAGGAATTGGGATAATGGGCAATTCACAAAGATGCCAGTCAAAAGAAAGTTCTCTTCTGTTACTGACTTGCATGTAGATATTTCCATTGGCTTTCGGTTGTTGAATCACTTTAAAAGTTTTCCGAAATAATGTCTTAATCTGGTACAGAAATGGATCAGAGTTACTGGTTACAAGATTAATGTGTTAATTTGCATCTGTCATTTGATTTTGTTACTGCTTTATATGTATCTTATGAAATAAAGGTTAAGCTATCTCTGTAACAGGCCATGGAGGCCCATAGGGTTGTGAGATGTTGAGGGTCCCACATTATCTAGACAGTTGGCTCATGGTTGGTGGTAAGATTGTCAGCCTTGCGTGCCGGCCACCCTATACCCCCCAGGAAGATTCCTGGTACTCATTTCTGTTAGAGGCTGAGTCTACCCCAGGGCCATATTGCAGCTGGAAGGATTAGGTCAACTGAAGAAATCCACCTCATCGGGACTCAAACCCGAACCTTATGGCTTGTAGCATAGTTCCTCAACCAACTATGCTACCATGTGCCCCCCTTATGAAATATAAGTACAGAAATATAGTCCCTTTGGAACATTAGATTAGCAGCACATGGAATGCCTAGGTTATATCAATATTCTCTTTACATCAACAGAAATGCTCAAATAAAAAGTGGTAGAGTGTGTATATGTGAAATGGTACTTCTGAATGATGGAAGCTTTGTAGCCTTGTATGTTAAGTATGTCCTACATTTTGATTGCAGACAGTAACCCACCGAATCTCCGAGATGTTTTCATGATGTATTGCAGCATGACCCATGGAACAACTCTCCGAGACTTGTGTGTTCGTTTCAATCCTCAAGCACTTAGAATTGATGAGAGAAAATTAGTTCAGTTTGGACTCTTACATAAACTGATCCGTCGAGTTCACAAGGTAATAACTTCACATATGAACTCAGTAAGAAGATGTGACATTGGTTGCATGAAGCGTATGTTATGCTGGAGAATACCCCTGTAAGTTTGTCACCTCTTATTTGGCTGCAATTTTATGGAACTGGCAAAATCATTAATTTACACATGGTGAGCCCTCTTTATTTCATGCAAAGTTTCTCTGAATATTTTAAGCTTTTCTCTATTGGCACACAGAAAAATAACTAGTTCTTTTTTACCAGCCAGTACTAACAAACATATGTCCAACCATCTGCAACTTCTGCTTGTTAAACACTTCTTGTTCTTTCATTTAAAGATAGACAGTGGAATTTTTAGAGCCATGTACAGTCTTACATTCTACTAGTGATGAGGTAGCAGCACCCATTTTTAGTTTTCAAGATGTATAAATCTGTACTGACATGGGAACCTCTGTTCTGTTCTGTTATTTATAGCCCTTAGCTAGCTGCCTCTGTAAAGGATGGAATTGTTCAATTACCAGTGTGAAATACAGTCACATTCCTTCTCTTGTGGCTGTGGTCATTTCACATCTTTGTGAATACCAAATATTTTCATACGGTAGTGAAATTTTAATGCTGCTTGCAGTGACTGCGTGGTGTAAGGCATGAACCATCTTAGCTCGCTTGAAAGCTGGGATCATGGGTTCAAATCCCACTTAAGGCATGGACGTCTGTGTTTGTATTGTTCTTTGTGTAGGTAGCACCCTTGTGATAGGCTGATCCCCCGTCCAAGGAGTCCTATGGACTGTGTAGAGGATTAAGAAACTGAAAAAGTGGCTGAGGGTCAACAAAGGGCTGTAGAGAGATGGTGAAATTTTAATAGAGCAGTAATTACTAAAGGTGCATGATAAAGTCAAAATGAAAGAAGCGATTGAGCTTAAAGGAGAAGTGGCCTTTGTAGGCAATGCTGTAGGCAGCAAACTATTGCTGTACAATTTGGGGTGTGACAGAGTCAGCACTTAGAAACACTAACAAAAGCAGCAGTAGGAGTATGAAGGTAGACGTATCTGCTTCACATTTGCATCAGATCTGTTGATTTGATGCTGTGTTAAATATTTTAGTCTGCTCTGTACTCACAGGTTCATAATCAAATTAAAATACTCTAAGAAATTAAAAGTGGAGGCAGAAGTAATGAAAGGCAATAGCTAAGCATGTGGTCACTGTAGACCACTGTATTGTGAAAGTTGGTCATCTGCTTAAGTTAAGTGTGATTTAGTGGAACCACATAGGTGTGACCACCAGCTACATGAATAACATCACACCAACAGGGGGGAGCCTTACAGCACACTAATATTTAAACACCTAACTCTCATGTCAATCAGAAGTAACCATAGGAAAGAAAGCATGAAATTATGATGACATTACTCACATGAGAATTAGTTTCAGTAAAGAAAAAAGACAAGGGAGTAAGCAGGACATAATATGAAGATCCCCTCCAGCACTTTGACACACAGTCATAGGGCGTTTGCACAACACCTAAGAACACCAACTACCAGATTATTGTGAAATTCTTTTATAATTTTTACATTCAAATTATTTGTAAGGAGTTTTGTTAGAACACTGGAACGTAGAACTCCGTACACTCTACAAATANACATGTAGCAAGAAATCTATGCTTATACTAAATAAGTAAGATACATATCAACATCTGTTTTTGTCTTCTCCTGAAGATATTTCTGCTTCATTGTTGTGTTGACTGTCATAACCATATGCAACAAACTGTAGGTATAACGCATAAACATTGCGAAAAAACAATGTCACTACTTTCATTCCTATTATACTTCAAACATTTTCATTATGTAAATTATTTTCATCTCTTCAGTATTATAGACAGTTGGAAATTTGGAAGTTCTGCTTTTGCACTGCACTGATAAAAATTATTTTTATGTATGATGTAATAATGTGTCATTATTTTCAGTATCCAGTATTTGTAGAGGGGAAGAGCCACCTGAATCATATGACACCGCTAGAGCAAGCATTTTCAGGTCTGGCTTCTTCGGATGAGATATGCTGCATCACTGGGTTAAGTAGCCAGCAACTGGATGAGGAGATCGAATGTAATCCTGGTGTCACAGTTATATGGAAGTGACTGATAATGTCACAAAACTATACATTCAGTATTATTGAAACATATATTATTTTATAATAAGCTTGCATATATTTAAAACAATTTTGTAATGTGGGCACTGGGGGGAGTGGACGAGACATGGAAGTATCCACAGTACAAACCAGTGCCTTATAAGGACATGTCATGTAAATGCTCATCTCATGATTTCACAAATGGGGCTGTCTACATCAGTGTTCCACAACCTTTTTCTACTCGTGGCACACCAAACTGTTATTCCCCTCAAAAACACATGATATCAACAATATAAATACGTAACGTGATCAACTTATTACTATAATATTATATTGTTATTTTATTATCATTAAACAGAAATTGACTCATACATTTATTAACAATTAATGAACTTTAATTCACTGTAGAGTGTAGAAAATACACTTCTATTACTATTAAAGTAAATACAGTAATTCGACTCATAACTTCAATGTGATACTTGCGCCTGCGTAGCTGCACACAGGCGACTGATCCGTGGTGGAATCATTGACAACGCAAGTGTCATTTCTTCATAGATGGATTTGAGCCGCTCCCTCTTTGATGTCTTAATTTCAGTTAACGTTGAGAAGCCCAGTTCACACAAATACACGTATGTAGTTGAAAATGGCAATAACACACTAACTGCCATCTTGGAGATAGCCGGGTATCCACTCTTATTGCCAAGCAAAACATATCCATATCCAAAGGCACTACAAGAAGTTTTAGTTTCAATGTTCTGTCTGCTTTTAAATCTGTGAATTCCTCTTGTATATTAATCGGAAGATGTTCTGAATTTGCAACAAATGGATCACGAACCCAGTCGAAATCTTGTACACTCTCTCCAAAATACTTATTGAATTTCTGCTGCAGCATTTCTAAATGTTATTCAATTTTGTCCATCACCACTGTATTGCCATCAGTAAGTGACCATACAGTCGGGGACATCTCAGACGACCCATCTGTAATTCTCTAACTAGAAACGAAAATTTGCGAACTACTTCAGAGCACAGCTGTGATAGAACTGAAACAGTTGTAAAACGCGGCATCTCTACTCTTCAAACGGAAGAAGTGACACTATACCGACTCATTTTTGAAATATTTATAATTTTAAATGAAGTCCAACAATCGGTGGGTGCATTGTTGCAGGAAGAAAGTCATAAAGTTGAAGAAGCTCTAACTTCTAACAAACAGAGGCAAATACCAAGACAACGGTATAAAAGACAGGGAAACTCATGCTAATCCCTGCAGTTTTAGGGAAAAGCATGTACACAGAACATGCGGCAAGCATATCAAAGAAGCTGCGTAGATGCGAGAAAAATAAAAATAAAACAATAATGAAAACTATGATATAACAACAACTGCGAGTAAATAATTTTCGTTAAATTTCTTAGAATACAACATTACTGTAAATAAAAAATCACAGCATGTAAAAAAGAATAAACAAGCATCATCATATTTAATCGGTGCAGTGGCTGAATACATGCATGTGAAACACGGTAAGGGGTAAAATAAAACGAATAAAATTCGACAATTTCTTACAATAGGCAAAAGTTCGCGTCACATCTTTCCCCTTGTGACGGCACACCGATTTGAAAATCTGGTTTAACCCTTCCGGTCGTGAAGTGGGGCGATGTCATCCCACTTGTTTTAACTACAAGGACCCGTGTTTGTACTGGGAAACCTCTAAAGGGCGGGACTAAGATGGTAAATTTCGCGGAATTTTATTACAAGATAAGTTGATGAAAAGTACAAGGTCCGGGACAGCGCGAACGCAGTCCCGACTACCAAAAATTACGCGCCCGAGTTACCCACATTTGGGGCAATCGCAGGTCAGCCCGACCGTAGTGCAATGGAAGGGTCTCAACCTGGGGGAACCGCCTTCAGGATCACGGTAACCCCTACGCCAGGTAAGTATGCTTAGACTACCTATTCAGTGCCACTTGAAGCAATAGCGCCACGCTTAACTCGCGAGAGCTTTATCGGAATCTAACTTGGAACAATTATTTAGACAGACAGGCACAAAGATTTTGCATAACTTCCTTCAAGTTTATTTTTCTCCACGTAACTAAGACATCATGTTTCTTGTATGAAAGCGGTATTCTCATCAGGTATAAGATTGCTGTTGAACTACTTTCCAAGAGAGAGAATAGCGCAGTATCAGTGACCAAAACTGGCCTTCTGGAAAGGGGGAGGTGAAATGGCAGAGAGGGATGGAGACGTCTTCTTAAATAAATTTCTAATACTGCCTGTAACACAACATTGTGTTCACACTACTTCTAGTTTCGTTTCCATTGTGATGTCTGAGAGATGCTTTGTTGTATTATCGTGTTCACAAGAAGGAATAATCATCCAAAACGCCAGGCGGAAAAGAATAAGCGAACTGGGTTCATTAAACTTTTCTTGCGTACATCATGTACAAAATAGTCTAGAACATAACAATAATATCTATGAATGTAATGACAAATTGATACTAATATATCACAATTTGTTTATGGTGCAAAGGTGTTCCACTATATGTTTTGACCTTTAGGAGGTCATAATCAGGCATACTTACAAGTATTCAGTCTAAATTCTTGAAGTGTGTTCTAAAAAAAAAAAAAAAATTAATCTCTAATTTTAATTTTTATCTTCAAGGACAAAACTACATTAATAACTAAAGGTGAAGGTAAAGTTGTCTATGTGCTTACCTAATTAAGCACTATGCCATGAAGGTGTATGGGGGAGTGGATGTATAGATCCACATTTCCTTGACCTCGGCACTAGCTGGAGGTAAATGGTCAGCTTCACGCCCCTGCTACTTTACCCCCGAGGAAAGAGCCCTCAGTACCCATTAGATAGGAGGCTGGGTGGGCCTCAGAGCCGGTCTGGACAATATGGAGTAGAGAAAATTCTGACCCTACCGGGACTCGAACTCTGACTTCTCGGTCGTCCAGCCCATAGGCAGTCTCTATACCAACTGTGCTACCCCAGCTCATACATTAATAGTTATGTAATATTAAAATCCAAACTATACTAGTTTTAATATCTAAACAGAATTTAAAACTATAATATTAGAGAGTATTTTTAATGAGTATTTATTAGATATATTCAACAGTAAGGTACTACTGAGTTCTTGTAAGTTTGTCTGATGATTATTCTTGAAGGTTGAAATATGTAGCGGAACACTTTTGCACAATGAACGCATGGCGATGCAGTAGTATCAATTTGTCTTTGTTTACATTAGTAGATGTTGTGTAGATGCCCCCATTTGTGATGTCATGACACACAATAGGATGCATACCATAAAGACTGCTCATGTAATATCTGTAATGTGCAGCATAACCAATTTCTGAAATGTAGTTGTAAAGCAAGAAGATATTGATTCATTAACATAGAAATTTATTGTCACACCGCTTGAGCAAACTGATTTTTTTTTACTTGCTTCCTCTCACTCAGTTTTGTTCAGTCTTGCTTCTGTCTTCTGGGATTTTAATCTGTTCTGTCTCATGGAAGTTACCGATGTTTCTGGGGAGTGAAATTTGCATGCTGTTTGTAGTTTCTTTGCACAGGTGGATGTAGTACACTCTTCCAAAAATGTCAGTAAACATCTACCAGACTATACTGTATCACATCATAGAGGATAATACTCTTCTTAATCAGCACCACACATCAAATCTCTTTATTCCTTGCGGAGATCCTGTCAATTTATTTCTGCTGCTTTGCTCAGGGAAGCAAGAGTTGTTCTTTCATGCCATTCTTAATTCGTGACATTACAGTTTTTAGCTTAAATGCTGATCTCTAGGGGGTGAGGGTTTTCTTTTTTACAGTTTCAACAATTGCAGTAAATAAAATTCTGTTCACAGTGCACAGTGCACTATAACCATCACATGATTCAAAATTGCTAAGATTTGGAGTTCTTTCTGGCAATGAAACCCATGTTGCAGTATTTACCTACATTGTTTTATTTATTTGAAACTGAAAAAAAAATTATAGAGTCTCAAATTAGTTCACCATCTGATGGTAGTATACAAAACAAGTTCAAAAATCTAACCAAAAATGTGTGTGCATCTTAGCCAAAACTAAAGTATATGCATACTTCATATGGTTCCGTTTCATTTACTTATAAATATTGTATATGTGTATTAGCATGAAGGGTTAAAATTCAATTGAATTTTTGTCAAATACCTCACTACAATTTTATAACACAACCCTGTCACTTCATATGTAGTTAAACACTTGGTGCCTGTCAATATAGGCTACCTGAAGACAGCATAGTTTCAGTAACTGAACAGAAAATTTTACACAACACATGGGAAGTTTGTCTTTCAGAGCGACTGTCTCTAATGTTCTTCATACAACCTTTTAATAACAAGCAATACAAATTACATATTGTTAGGGAGAATTATATAAAGCCTATTTTAAGTCTGATCTTTTTTTCAGGATTTCACTATACTGTAGCAATAGACATTTTGTTTGCTATTGCTCACTCCATAGTCCATGTCAGGAAGTTGCTAATAACACAGATTTGGATATAGGTGTTTTTTGGCCAGTGCCTCCACGTTAAGGTCTGTATTGACCTTTGTGGTCTCTGTCCACACATGCAAAGGTACAGAATCTATTTCTTGAGTGTGGGTGCNTATATATTCCATAGTCTTGTTTGTACTAAAAAATCCTGATATGTATCAGGTGAATAATGGCATACACAAATTAAGTACTAGGTGGCATAATAAACTACATGTTTCCTTTGTGAGATTATCTTCCATTCAAAAGAGTGCGCATTTTTCATCCATTAGAATATTTAATAACTTGCCATACAATATCTATTCTTTGAAAGACAATATTAATACTTTTAAACAAAGGCTAAAAGATTATCTTATTTTAAATGCATTTTATTCGGTAGATGAATACATGGCATACAGGCAAGCATAATACATTATTGTTGTCTTTCCAAGATTATGTATTATCTAGATTTGTTATATGACTACTTTTTATTTTATTATTGTATTTTTCATTTTATAATTCTTGAATATTTTAAGTGTTGAGACTAGATTGCATTTTGCAATGTCATTTCGCTGACGAATTCAATATCTGGTCCGGTTTCCAGACAATGGATCTGTGAATTTATGTATGTATGTATGTATGTATGTATGTGGACATGAATATGGAAGCCATGCGATGGTAGTGAACATAGAAAGCTGATGTCAAATGACTAGGCATAGAGCTTGGGTTGGTATGAGAGTTATTGGACTCTTGAAACTTATAACTACAAGTAACTGTAGCGCTGTCGCTAAGTCACACACACTA